ACCGTCCCGCCACCGTTGGTGCTCATGTTACGGCCACGACGTCACTCAAATCCACACTAGTCCCCTTGCTATTCATACCCACTCTGTGTCCGTGCACACACCAGCTCCTGTGCGGTTTCTGTTTGCTTGCCTGCTGCTGTCCTATTCCCTCCGTCCGTGAGCAGTCGCTCCTGTTCCAATGCCGTCCGTTCCCTGGTCGTCTCCGCCGCGCGTGCACCCGCTGTCCCATACGCGCCCCTCCCCGAGCCCGCCGCGCGTACCAACTCCTCGGACTCGACGTGCAGCTCATCCCTGCTGTGATGTCGCGCAGTTCCCGCTCCTCCAGCTGCAGGAACTCGTCGCCTTCGGTGACGGCGCCGAACCGCTTCTGGATGTACGCGTCGGCCGCCTTCACCAGCGCCGTGCAGTGCAGGTCGCAGCCAAACTTGCGGATGCCCAGCGCGTTACCGGGCGGCCAGCCTGGCAGCAACAAGTGCCCTCAGTCCACTGCTCGCGCGCCCGGTCTCCGCGTACAGACGCAGTCTAATGATGACGGATGGGTGGGGGGGGGGGGGGGGGAGGGGTAGTCATACACACCCAGTCACTATGTGGTGGTGCCAATGAGGTCTCTTCTCAGAGCACAAGTGGACAGAGGACGCACAAAGCTGGATATTGCATTACATGGAACAGGAATGTGGGGGAGGGGGGGGGGGGGGCAGCCACATGAAGGGATGTAAGGACAGGAGAAGGTTGAAATCATCCCATCACGTCAGTGGACTAAAATGCATGATCTATGTGCATGTACCATGTGCACAATCTAGCCCTCTAGTATGCCACCCATTTCAATTAGCAATGGACTCGAGTGGCAAGGCCATCCAAGACCATCCTGCCCCACTCACTCCTTGATGAGGTGCTTAGCACAGGCATCCCGGACGGCCGTCAGCTGGAGGAACGCTGCACCCATCATCAGGTTCTGCACGTTGCTGTTGTTTATGAGAATCCGACCGCTGTAGGCGAAGTTGATGAGCGATTCCAATGCACTGGAGAACAAAACAACAATGATGAAGAAACTTGCAGAACTGCTGAAAGGAGTAGGTGGCGAGTAAGGCATTAATGAACACAACAATCATGTAAAGAAATACATGTACATCAAATGATACAAATGTCGGTAGTATCACCACTTGTGCCACATCAGACATGGGGGCGGAGCTAGTTTCGACACCTTGCTTTGCGAAGCCACAAATCATCCTCCAATGACTTTGGATTCAGATTCAGCTTTGGCCTTCAGCCCTTTTCCATGGCTGTCTTCAGTGGCCTCAAACCATCTTTATCACATGGTTCCAGCTTCTCCTATTAACAACTTTTGCCTCATGGCTTCAGTTCTGCCTTGAAGCAAATTTAAAATGTTTCATCTTTGTTATCTTGCCAAACCATGCAGATACCCATGACGTAGTAAAAATAGATTTGCCTGTCAATTTAACCCCAATAACACACAGCTTTTCCTGACTGTGATGGATACATGGCTGAAAGCCAAAACCATCCATTCATTCTTAGGCCCAACAAAGACATGGGGACAGTCAGACAACTTCCTATATGAAACAAAGTATACACAAGAACATGGAAGATGATGGAGACAGTTTGAAAACCTTGTCTCAATCACTCCTCTAGATCCTCGTCTTTCCTGATTCTACATGGCATTAGCAGACATGGAAAGTCTGAAAAGTTTTTGCTGCCAAACATAATGTTGTGCTCTAGATTAAGTTTCTGCTATAGCCTCATGATCTAGAAGTGATGGTGGCCTGAGTCTGGTCTCACATTTTCTACATAAGGAGCTGCTGGCTTCATCTCTGCATGCACAAGGTTAGAGCTTTCAAGCCACGGGCTTCAGATTCTGTTTCATGTTTTTAAAATACAAAGTGACTATTACCAATATTGCCTTTGTAGTTTCAACTCCACAGTTACCAACCTCAGCTTCAACTTCATATCACCATCTTGGCCTCACATATAGCTGCAAAGCCAGGCCCCTGGCTTTGTCTCCAGGCCTGGCCACCATTATTTTAGCCTTATGCAGTTCACAAATGTGAATGTACACACATAATATCCATGTGACACTCCAATATTTGAATACAGAGTGATGATACCTGGTGTCAATCTCCTTCATCTCTATTTCTGATAGCTTGCTTTCCACCATGTCATGCAGGAACATGGCATTGAAGTATGGTATGTTGGCAGACAGAACAAGCTTGTGAGCAGTGAAGGACTGACCATCCACCTGGAACACAGTGGTATGCAGGCTGCCAATAACTGGCTCTCACAGTCTGATCAGTACAGGTTGGTACCTGCTCATATATTATTATGTTGATTGCATGACATATCCCTCTTTTGCTAATAAGAACCATAATCTGACTGATGGGGATGGGCAGATGCACATGAAATACACTACCACAGCTGCCTGCTGAATGACAGATGAGAAATGAAAGCTACTGAACAAAATGCCATTGCAGAGCTTAGGTGGAGGCTGCAGCCATGCCACAAGTTGTTTTCAATTGAAATACAGCCAAGAACATGTAGAAAGTATAAAATGTAGAAAATGCACAATAACTGCACCAAAAGTTTGGAGACAAGCTAGGGAGAGATGTAGCACAATGCTCAGTTATTATTGATGCAATATGACTAGACCATCTAACAAAACAGTAAAAAATGCATGACCTGGCAAACATTATCAGGTCCTTTTCCATATGTGAACTACTGTGGTCCATCAGGCAGCAAAAATAATATTTATTCAGTCTCCCATGACAGGAATATACCTTCAGTGTAACATCATATATCATCATATCATCATCATATCCTTCCATCATCATATACCTTAAGTGTAACATCACACAGCTTTCCCTTTCTTCTTATTTCTTCCATGACTGGAAAACCTTTTTCAAAAAGGTCACTTTGTACAAAAATTGTATGATCCCTGCTTGCAGCCATTGGGACTTCCTGAAACTTATATTTATGGTTTATTATATTCTTGACATTCAACTACAACTTGCAATACTGACCTGAAAACAAGCATCATTAGGTCAGCAACAAATAGGACACTGCTTTGTTGTCTTTTGATAATTCTCATTTTTCCTAGTCCAAGTTTTTCCTGATGGTGGACCTGCCTTCATGACAAGCAAGATGTTTTGTACACTGGGAAGTAAAGGTTATGCCACAGGGAGGAAGGGGTATACCAATATGCAAGTAATGGTAAATCTTCAGATTGACATTTAAGGAACATGTGTGGGTAACTCTTACACATCAATAACAGGATCAGGGTAAAACAAGACCAAAATCCCTGTGCATAACTACCCTCCATTTTGAGGTCGTTAAGGCTGGCTTTTGCCTACATCTGACATTCCTGACAGCACAACACAACCAGAACATAGAAGCTGAAAGAGCATAAAGGGAGTGTGAATTCACATGGCACAGCCAATACATTAACAGGGGAAGAAATTAAAAATAGTGAAAAATGTGTGCTGCAGTTATCAATAGTACCTGCATCCTGTATCCTCTCAACATAACTGATCTGTCTGATGCTGCAGATCAGAGCTTCACAGCAAAAAATATAAAAAACTTTGCCCGACGCAGAGCCCCGCTGCTTTGGTCGTTAACATTCTTTTCACGCACGACTGGCCTGACGTTAACTGTTCCAAATAATGGTGGTATATTTCCCAATACAGCACCATAGCGCCCGCAACCCCACTTACCGCAGCTACCAAGGTGGACACTGACTGACTGACAACAGCAATATCAAGCTTTATTTGACTTACATAAAATAGGTCATGATTGTACATAAACATGAAGTAAATAAAGCTGCGCCTCCATAGTACCTTCCATACCACAACATCTACCGAAGACCTGTTCGAAGCTACCCATGATGCGCTGGCACGCTGTCAAAATTGCCCATGTTGTGTTTGATGCAGGCAACCAATCCCCAAGCTGATTAGCCACTGCCCTCAAACCACTACCACCCAACGTTATTTTAGCCGTACGTGTAGCGTTCTGCTCCTGACGGCGCGCATTTTTAGATCCCATTCCCTGAAGATTTTTCTTGACGCCATATCTGGAGATAAAACTGGGAGCTTCAGACCGCGTTCGAGCTGTCCTTAACACGTTTGTCAGCACCAATCAATGCCCAGTATCCTCCCTGTGCACGTCACATGACCACAAAAGGAGGCGTTCATATTGTCCCAGGTACAGAATGTCCAAAGGTATAGAATGTCCAAAGTACAGAATGTCTCTGTACCTTGGACATTCTGTACATTCGGCATTATGGTACTCCTTCCCCTCTGCACCATGTTGGAAGTTACTTCTCATTTTGGACATTGTGTGCTTTGGGCATTATGAACTTTGGACATTCTTCACCTTAATCATTCTGTACTTTGGACATTCTGAACCTTTGGACGTTCTGTACCTGGGACAATATGATACCGACCCGACAAAAAATCCTGGCAGCATCGTCAGCAGGCGCTGGACGTCACATACAACTGACTTTGTTGTGGGTGGGTCCGTATCATAATGCCCCAATGTCCAGAATGTCCAAAGTGCAGAATGGCCGAAGTGCGGAATGTCCAATGTACATATTGTCCAAGGTGCAGAATGTCCAAAGATCAAAGCTTCCAAACTAGTTGCTAGATCGGCCGCAAGGTATGAATAATCGCCTTTATTGGCAGGCGGCGTTGCCCCACCCAGCGCCGATCGCGCGCATACAGTCGACACCATCACGAATATCACGCGGCTGTGGCTGGCCGGCCGGATTACTAGCTTAGTAACAAATCTATGTCTGCTCCATGACGGAATGGAGCCGGCTGGGGGTGCCACGCCGGGCACCAGTCGCTGATTGTCAAAGTTGAGCACGGTAAGGCTTGCCTGCATTTGTGGGCTGCGAAAACATACTGAAAGCAGGCGGAATATGAAATGAAGTTATAGTCGCGCTATGTCCGAAAATCTTTTTGGCGAAATCTACACCAGCAGTGGGCAATTCTGGATGCCAGTATTGACTGCTCGATTGTCAGTATCATGCAGACATCATAAGTTCGGGTTAATAATTGCAAACAAATTCAGATAACAAATAAGTGTGAGTTAATGACAGTTTCCGGCATGATACACCAGCATTGTGATTACTATGGGATGGGTTTTCAGCAGTAGCAAGCTAATATCAAAAATGTTTCGTGGTCAGTAGTGAGTATCATTGAATGAGGTGGAATATTCTTCAATATGGTATTATAAAAACACCCCATATCCAACACGTGCTGAGAGCTGATCAAAACTCAGACGGTTAAATTTTAAGTCATAGATGATCAGTACCAAGAGTAAAATCAAGATGTTCCAGGCAATGACTAAAGCGTCATTTCTAGATGTACTTCACATGAAAAACGCTGCTCATGCGTGTTGCGCCCCGGTCGGCCGGCGCGCCGGCCGCCCTTCGGACCCCAGGACTCCGCGCGGTGTCAGGCTCCAGTCGCGAAGCCCCACCCCTCCCCGCCGAGCGTCAGGTGCGGGCGGCTCCGAGCGAGAAATGGACTCCGCGCGCCCGGTCTGCAGAAACTGTGGCACCCGTCATGCACGATCTGATCTCTGCGTGGCTGCGGATCGGGCGTGCTACAACTGCGGCAGAACGAGTCACACCTCCAGGATGTGCCGCAACGCGCGCCAGTCACATGAGACATCTGCCTCTGTGGTTACGCTCGCGACCGCATCAACGGGATTCGCACCGACTGTCAGCGTGTCCGTGTCAGGTCGTAAGACGGCCAAGATGACGGCGCTTCCGGACGCCGGAGCCGACGTGTCAGTCGCTGGGTTAGACTTTGCCGAACTCATTGACGAGATGGGCGATAACTTCCAGCCGCCGTCGACCCATCCCCGCGCTGTGGACGGACACGTGACGCGCTCGCGTGGGAGTCTGCCCGTCCGAATCATCCTGGGCGACGTAGCGGTGTCTGACACGGTGCATATCATCCCAGGAGTGTCACGACTCCTCCTCTCGTGGCGCACTGCCGTCCGTCTTCGTATTGTACCTCCCAATTACCCACGGCAGATAAATGCAGTCAGTCGGGGTGCCGGACCGCCCGGCGCAGCCGCTAGTCAGCCGCCGCCGCCCAACCCAGCCGCGGCTGAGATGCGCGCGCCGCGCCGCAGTCAGCCCTCCCCTACCGAAACCGGAGACGAGACGGGACGCCGCGAGCGCCCGGCAGGGGGAGGGACCGTCGGATGGCCGACCTCCGACGACGGTGACGGCGGAGACGGGCCGGCCGGCCCTCCTCAGCGGACCACACCGCCCGATCGGCGCTGCCCTCTACAATCCCCTTGCAGCACGCAGCGTCCCCAAGCGCCTCAGAGCTGCCTCACGATCACATCTCTTCCGACGTGACCGAGAATGCAGCGCCACTTCACGAGTTTTCCGACGTGTTGGACGGCAAAGCACGAACCATGCCAGGAGAAGAATACCAAATCCATCTGCGAGAAGACGCCACCCCCTTCGCCGTGCGCTCGTCACGCAGGGTGCCGATAGCTCTGAGAGAGCCCCTGCGCCACGAGCTCGAAAAACTCGAGCGTGACGGCACCATCGAGCCCGTTATGGAGTCAACTGAGTGGTGCGCGCCCATCGTAGTGGCCCCTAAGAAGGACGGCATGGACATTCGACTGTGTGGGCCTTTCAAAGCTGAAAAGGTCCGTTGGCGGGAGCTGTGCCAATGTAACACGCCTGCTGAGTGTGTCGCATCCATCACAGCGTCGGACGCTTAATGGTTTAGCGTGTTCGACGCCACCAAAGGATATCACCAGTGTCTTCTAGACGAAGACAGCCGAAAGCTGACGCCGTTCATTACACCATTCGGGAGCTACCGCTATCTGCGCGTGCCCTATGGCGTCTCGTCAATTAGCGAGCATTACAATCGGCGCATGGACGAGTGGTTCGGGGACGTGGACGGCATCCAACGTGTCGTGGACGACGTCATCATCTTCAGCAAGACGCGAGAAGAACACGTCACCCGAGTCCGGAAGTTTTTGACGAGGTGCCGTGCCCGCGGTGTCTCCCCGAACCCCTCCAAGACGCAGCACATAAAGACCAGCGTCAGATTCGCCGGCTTCATCGCGTCCCAAGACGGCTACGTGCCGGACCAGGCCCTGACGAACGCCATAGTGGCGTTCCCTGCACCGAAATCGCTCACTGACGAGCTTTTTCGGCCTCGTCAACCATGTGGCGCCATTGAACGAGGAGACGACTAAGCTGCTGGAACCGTTGCGCCACCCACTGAGCGCAAAGAGAACCTTTATCTGGGACACCTGTCACGAGGTGGCGATCCAGGCGGCGAGGGAGGCGCTGTCTTCCGACCGTCCGCCTACGGACGCCAGCCCACTCCAGGGGCTCGGGTTTCTGCTGCAACAAAAGCAGCCGGACGGTGCCTGAAAAGTCCTTCGGACGGGGACTTCAGTCGCTCTCCAAAATTCAGCCACTGGCCGCTGGTACCGGTATGGCATCATCACGAAGATCGGCCCTCACCGGCGCTACTTCATCCGCCTGCCCAGCAGCCGGGTGTTGACACGGAACCGGCGTCACATCCGCCAGCGGTACGCCCCCAGCCGGCCAGACCCGGCCGAGCTCTCGCAGCTGCCAGCGGCCGCGCCCCCGGCGCCGGCGGCCGCGGCGGGCACACCGCCCCCGCCCGAGCCGGTCCCCGCGGGGGATTCGAGACGCCTGAGTGCGCCGACCACAGGTCCAACTCCGGCTGGAGAGGCGACGTCTGACGTCTTCCCGGCGCCGCCGCGACGGTCTGCACGGCTACCCGGCGTCGCGAACATCTAACTGAGACCATGTGAGTGAGTGGCCAGGCACACCGTGTGCGGTAGATTTAGTATTTTCTATAGATTTAGTATTCGACCCCGCACTTTATTTTCGCACTGTAGCCTCCGCGCTCCGCCGCCGTCTTCCCACCGGCCCGCGGTCGCGTCTCCCGCCATACTTGTGTTCAATTCTCTAGAGTACACTCTCATCCCTCGCGTATATAAAAAATGAAATTGTGTTCGTCATTCGATCGCGTCCCGCGGGCTGAATGACTGGTGTGTGTGGGGGGGGGGGGGGGGGGGGGGGGTGCGAGTACCGAGTATATCGCGCGAGTAGTAGTATCTAGACCGAACGGTAGATGGCAGAGCGTCTGGCGAAGTACAGAAATACAGTCTACAGTCATAGTTCCGACCGCCGAATCTTGGGCACCTTCGCGGAGACAGACTCGAACACTAAACATTGAGGACATCGCGAAGGCAGATCGTAGATCGATGCTTTTGATCCAAATTTGAAGATGAAAATTTGATTGTGTCCACCATTCGGTTAAAACTTATTAGTGATACAAGTTATGTAACATGTTTTTTAACATGCGCGCTCTCAAATCTTAACAAAAACCTCGACACCAGGCATTGCAGTCTCCATTATCCGCGGAGCGTTAGCCCAGTAGTGCTAACCTTTAGCCGTGGCCCGGAGGACGCTCCTGAAATTATTACCTTTAAACACTGCAATCAACTATTAATACCAGTTATGTGGCGCAATTACGAGCATGCGCACTCTAAAATCTAAGAAACGCAAGCCTCGGCCCCCGGCGTTGCAGTCCCCATAGGGTGCGCAGCGTCTGCCTAGCAGCTGATACTAAGCGCTGGCCAATAGGTGGACAAAAATGACGATGTTCCTGAAAAACTATTCTTGAGCGCTCCATGACATCAGGTCTTACATTAACAAGGCGGTCTGAGCGCATATTTTACGTGTGCAATTTTTTGACTGATAAAAAGAACGGATTGGCCCTTAAAGCACCGTGAAGTGGGGCTGGAATCTGGTGGTTGTGC